TCTCGATTAGCCTTCAGTGGAAACTCAACAACAACTTGCATTTATATCCTGCACTTCATACAGAGCAGTGCCTCAGAGCGCTTCACTCTACCTAATTATACTGCTTTTTCCACCAGTGAAGAACTGCAATGCTCTATATTTTATTTTGGTCAGCCAGGTAACCGGCACATGCAAAAGCCATCACCGTGCTTAAAGAGTATCCAGACCAAACTAATGGGAGCTGCACTTTTGCAAGGAGTTTTCCTCTTGTTTGGATTGGAGTGTGCACTCTCTCTCTCCAGAGAGACACATCCTGTTCACCTAATCCTGGAAGTTCTCAGGGACCCTAGAGTATGGGGTGAGGTACTGCTGGAGTTTAACCAGTTAAAAGTGTACAGTTTGACAAGGTGAACACTGCTTGGCAAGGATTCCCACTATTTGTCAGCTACGACCACTCTACTCATTAGAACATTGGCTCGCAGCATTTGCAGGACCTGAGTTGGAAGCAGACGATGCACTGTATCTATTATGATATACTATATCTATAATACTATAACAAATAATCCTTGCATTTGATATAACGCCTTATCACAATGTTGACACACGACTCAAAGCACTTCACAGGATACACTATAAAGTAGAGAGTATTTTGTGGGGTTTATTATATTATTATGTATTATTGGATTTATTATACTGGCAATATTTGTAATGTGATTTCACATTCATTTTGAAATTGTAGGATTCATGAAAGGTTTTTGAAGCAGACTTCAGGGAAGAGTCAAACCTGAGATTGGAGTCTGAGTGGAGTTCCAGAAAGTTAGGCATAATATGATCAAATTAACTCATTACAAATCCTTTTGCAAACCCCATAATTCAGGCCGCACGATTGCCTTTGTTCTCATTGTTATTTTAAAGCAGCAAACCTTTACATTGGGAGATCTCTTGCTATACAATGAACCATAAGTCATTGTACCTTCAAAGTGCAAATCTTTACATTATATTTACCTGGTTTGTGACAATTTGAGATCGACCTACATTGAACTTTGTGACCCCAGGATACAATACGCACTTATATTTTTATTGCTTTTCCTGTTGGGAGGACTTCCCAAGGCTTGGTAACTGAGCTGGGAGTGGGAGTCTAGCGGGTGGGGAGAGGAAAGATGACTGAAAGGTGTTGAGTTGGACCTTGAACGAAGTTAATGGGATAATAACTGTTAGACCAATGGAAACAAGTCAGAATTATTGATTAATCTTTCAAAACCTCATAAAATCCAACACGGTGTATCTAACCAGAAAACTTTTGCGAATGGAAACTAATAATCTACTTGTTGTTAACGCCCAGAATAATTAAGGCAGATTGTGTATTTGGTTTGTGATATGTGTGCCATAGAGATGTTTGTCGTAGCTTTTGCTGCAAACTCATTTTATGAATCCTTGCAGCTCCTGCTCCTACCTCATTTGCCAAGGTGCCTTACAAAGGGCAAGATAGAGTCAGTAACCATCATTTATTAAAGTGGAACTAGTGTTGTTGGTTCATTGGCCTTTACTCCAGTGGAAAATGCTTTGTAACCTTTGACCTGGAACCTTCCGGCCCTACAGTCTTCATTGCAAGAGTCTGCAGTCTTCTCCAATGATATTCCTATATCCTTTTAGCAATACTGTTTGTAAAATACATTAATCATTTGACTTTTTTAAAAAAAGTGATGCTAAGAATAAGGTCCAGATGAATTCTGAAGACCATTGTTTAAAAACAAATACTATTTATTTTCCCCAATAATGCAATTAAGCTCTACTGTTGAAATAATATTTTTTTTAGACATGTAATAAGGTGAGATGGATAGCAGGAGAGGACAATCTTGCAGAAATAGAGTATTTGGTGAAGAAGGAGAATAACTACAATCACAGTAAAGCATGAGCAAGGGTAGCATTCAAAGCTCTTTCTTGTCTCTATTCTCATTTACCTTTTTCTTTAGTTTGATTCCTATTGTTTTTTGCTTCTTCCCCCTTGTTTATTTTGTGAGACAATGCTCTGCATAAATTGGCTGCACCAATCCTGTGAAGTGATTTGAGACATCCTCCCAACATGAAAGACGCTATATCAAATGTACAATTTACTAGGATTATTATTATTTGCTAATCCTTGCATTTGATATGGAACTTTTCACATCATTGAAAAATCTCAAAACAATTCACAGGATAGACTGTAAAGTAATGTGGACAAACGTGGCAGCCAATGTGCACGCAAAAAGATCCCACAAACAGCCATGGAGTGAGTGACCAATTTTATTTGGGGGATTGTTGGCCAAGATAATTCCCTTCTATTTACAAATAGTGCAATGTGATCTTTAAAATCCACCTGGACAGGTAGACAGGTTTAACATCTCTTCAGAAGGACAACACCTCTGACAATGCAGCATATCCACAGCACAACATTAAACTGATAGCTTATGGGTTCCAATTCCTAGGACTTGAAACCACAACCTTCTGACTCAGAGGAGAAAGTTCTAACCAACCAAGCCAGGCTGACACACTCCTTTGTCTCACTGCTGTTTTTACAACACCTAAAGAGTTTTATACCAACTCAGCGCAAATTAAATGAGTCATCAGACTACAGTGGTTCAGTAATTATAGAACAGTATAAAGAAAAAAATCCATCTTTAATTGCATGAAAATAACTCTCAGACTAATGGTGGCTGACATCACCCACAATTCTTAACCTTATAACCATTAGTCAATTGAAATGGTTTTATTTATTATATTTACAAAAGGAGTTGGAAGCACAAATTATGATTCCCAAAAGTGTGAAAAATAGCCAAATGGCACAACAACATCTTTCCACAACTGCCTGTTTTGCTCTGGGCCTTTTTTCTCACTGCCAGTTTTCGGAAATCAATGACCCCCAATACGATCAAGCCGGCTGAAAAGGCTCATTTAAACACTTCCCTTCCCTTTATGAAGATCACAAATTAGTCCCCAGAGACAGTTTCCTCACATGGAGCACTACAGATATGTTCAGCCTCCTCTGAAGTTTTTTTACTAGTTGAGGGAGGAGGATAGATAATAGGAAAATAATAATCTTTGCATTTGGTATAGTCGTTGAGATGTCTCAAAGTGCTTCACAGAATGTTGTGGGCGAAACAGTTCACAGTCCAGAGATTGAGGCTAAGAGCAGGAACCTTGCAGGAGCATTACTGGTAATTTAAATCCAGATTTAATAGTTAAGTTACATCGAGGCTTGACTATGCAAATTCCTTGCTTGTCAGCTTCCCCAACTCCTCCCTCCACAGGTTGCAGATCATCCAGAACACTGCAGCCCATGTCCTCTCCTGCACCAGGCGCCATGACCCTACCTCGCCCGACTCCACCAGCTTCCCATCACACAGAGCATACAGTTGATGGTCTTGCTCCCCCCTACCTCTGTGACCTCCTAACCACCTACCATCCTGCCCGCTCAGTGGGCTCCGGCCTGCTTCACATCCCCCACCTCGCCCGCCCTACCATTGGCGGATGGGTCTTCTGCCACTCTGCTCCACCCTCTGGAACTCCATCCTGCAGTCCCTCTGCCTCGGCCCCTCCTTTGCCTCCTTCAAGACCCATCTCAAGACCCTCCTCTTCGACCGTGCTTTCAATCATCCTGCTTTCCCCTCCCCACCCTCCATCCACCCCAATCCCGACCCCCAGCTTGGGTCCGAAACACTGACTGTTCAACACCTTGGGACGTCCTCCTGACGTGAAAGGTGTTATACAAATGTAATTTTGTTGTTGTTGTTAAATGGCTTTTTCTTATCGAAAAACATTAAGGAACGTCGACATTTGACCTGAGGAAATGCTCCCTCTTTGTGCTGAAGTGAATGAATCAATTTACTCATTACCTGCACAATATATTGCTATGAAAGTGCTGCACAAACTCATACCTGATAATCACCACTTCTTTTTTATGATGAAAATTATATTTCATACCAACTGACAAGCAAAATGCAATCTCAGGTATCAGGTATAATGCATAAATAACAAATCAGCTGTCATCGGTTTACAGTAACTGATTACTTTTATCATTCAACTAATGCTGTAATGCAAGAGAAAAGAGACGGATTATTGTCTGTCACTTTTCTGTAGCTACTGTGGAATCCTGTAGCTCAGTGGTAAGAGCACTCGCCTCGCAAGCGACAGACCTGGGTTCAATTCCCAGCAGGGCAAAATCTTGGGCACGTTTCCTTACTCCACACGCCTGATAATAATCACTTAAGAAAAACAATAATAAATTGGTCACTTCAATCCACGACTGTTTGTGGGACACTGTTGTGTGCAATTGGCTGCCTCCTTTCGCCCACAAATATACAATCAATTCACTTTACAGTATATTCTGTGAAGCGGTTTGAGACGTCTAGAAGACATGAAAAGCATTATATCAAATGTAAGGATTATTATTATATAATATTGTATTCTAGTAAATAAGGAAGGGACTTATGAATTATGCATTTTTGTAAGAGAAATTGGGGATGTGTTTTCTCTGCTCCACTAAAGCCACTGACTTCTGTTAAGACTTCAGGCCATTTGACCATTAAAGACATCAAACAGAAAACCTCAAATGCAAGTATCATCTATGCTGAGCTCAATTTCCCCCCTTTATGAAGTCTAAATATACATTTCCAGCAAGGTCACTGAACCCCAGGAACTGAATCAAGTTTGATCAACTTGTTACCCATGGGACTCTAAAAGCCAGCCAAGAAAGGAGACTGACTTTCATCCCACCAGTGTTGCCGGCCTGTAAACCAAGACCCAAAGGTAGTTCAACAGTGGGTTACGCCATGTGTCATGCAGCCCCATCCATTGCTGCTTTTTAAAAGTCTTTAAGTCTTTATTTTTAGTACTTCCTACACAGTCATTTTAATCAGTTAGTTGGAATTCTCTTTAATTTGCAGCCAGCAGTGATGAATTTACTGTGATTTTTCTTCTGTTATGTTGAACTCAATTAATGTTACATATTTTCTTAATTACATATTTTTATTTTTTCGTTTCAGTTTTGGAATCTCTCCTGAAACTTGGCGATCTTCATTATTGTTAAAAATCAAGTCAAGTATTCCATTTGTTTACTATTGGCTTTGTCTGGATACCATATCTGTGGAATATGAGCCAGAGCGATCCTGCAGAGGAGATGCCATCTATGGTACAGCCTCTCTGTATTACCTGTGGACAGATACATTCCCCTGAGGAAAACCACGCCTACAACTTCCAGGATGAAATCGATGATGATTTGATATGTCACATCTGCCTGCAGCCCTTAGTGCAGCCACTAGATACACCATGTGGTCACACCTATTGTACCGTGTGCCTTACCAACTTCCTGCAGGGCAAAGACTTCTGCCCTATGGATCGTAAGCCCCTGTGTCTGAAGGTGTGCAAAAAGTCAAGTATTCTGGTGCATAAACTGCTGGACAAGGTGTTAGTTATCTGCCCATTCAAAGAAGATTGCTCGGATGTCTTGCAGCGCTGTGACCTAGAAATTCATCTACATCGTAGGTAAGTCCACTTAGCTATCAGAGAGGTACGTTAAATAGGTTCAAGACCTCTTTGACCGCACTTTTGGTCAATTTTCCCTTCCCCACCCCCTTCATCTGACACCCCCAGCTCGGATGTTCAGCCAGCAGTCTTAAACACTTTAAAACATCCTCCCCGACCTGAAAGGTGCTATTTAATGTAAACTAATTTGTAAATGTACAAGATAGGCAGTGAATGATGCTCCTAAGTATTGAAATCTTAACTTCATGTACTAGAACTGCCTTTGATTGACTGAGGTGAACACTGTAGTGCTGTACAACCTAATTTTAAACTTTTAAAAGTTTAAGATTAAACAATCCTCTCAGTCACAATCCCTTTTGAAGGTTTTTTTTATATATCTTTGCATCAAAGGTCCAAATCTTCCTTTGCATTGTATGTTGTGTGTTATTTATATAGATAGATGATGGATGGATAGATGGATGTGTGTGTATTTGTGTGTGTGTCATTTTCCCCTCCCTGTCTGAACATAGTCAATCATATCCAGGCTACTCTCAGTCTGTGTTTAGGACAGCCTGGCCTCGAGTCATTGTCAGAGATGGTGTTGATTGATGCCTTTGTAAGAAGTGCACTTGAGCAATACAGGAAGTGATTCCATCCTGGACAGTTTTTCTTGCCCTTTCCCAGATGACCCAGCTGAAGTGAACAAATAGGTCCCATAGGAAGCCCCAGTACAAATGTCAGTGGAGAGTGAGACTTGAATTAAAGGTCTTTGAGTTCAGAGTCCAGCACTAGAATTGTAGCTACTGGAGTATGTTGTTTCAATACAGAATTGACCTCTGCTTCACATTGTTAGTTTCCTGGCTCGATAATTGACAGAAACTGGAAACAAAGAAGGGAGATCTCAGCACCACTTGTAAACCGCACATGCAGTTCAAGCTCTTCTCGGACATAAAACAATGTAAACACCTCAAAGTGGGACAGTGTTTTAAACACATTTTGTTTGACATCAAATGTTTAGCCTCAGTTTTTCCCTAATTGTCCTGGGGGGGAAAAAAAACTGCCAAATGTGTTTGTTCCCCAGGATGGATACAATGCCCATATAAAAACGCATTGCCCTGTTTTATCTTGCAAATTGATGTGCAAGCATCTGGGAGGAGATGGGAAGCAAACTAATAGAGTGAACAGGAGTGTGACTGGAAGGATGTTTACCTACCTGACCTTGGCAAGCCTTTGAATGGATTATTCAATATCTATTGGCAGTCATTGTTTTTCGTTTGAAAAGCAGCCTCTTTTTTTCAAAAAAAGTGAAAAATAAAGCATGTTTACAGCCATTGATCCTATATACATATGCAAGTGTGTAATGAGTCCATTAATAACCTGTTATAATTTCACCTGACCAACAACCCTCCAGATGAATTGCTCATTCACCACCTCCAGGCTGTTTGTGGGACTTCACTTGCTGCCATGGTTGCCTGCACAACAAATGATTACATTTAATTCGGAACATAGGAACAAGAGTAGGCCATTCAGCCCCTCAAGCTTGCTCTGTCATTATATTAGGTCGTGGCTGATCTGTTCCTCAACTCCATTTACCCACCTTTGTTCCATATCCCTTGATACCCTTACCTAACCAAAATCTATTGAACAGTAGTGACTTATGAACTTCTAGTCCACCCAACCTTCGAAAGCTATGTCCCTTGTTTTTCAATTTTGTACAGGGCAAAACACTTTATCTGTAACCAAATTTCCCAAACTCTTCAGAAGCTTAAATTGTAACATTCTAGTCTTAGTCACAAGGTTATAGGTTCAAGCCCCAAGTTGAGACTTTGAGCTCATAGTTGAGACTGACTCTTTCCAGTGCTACATTGTTGGGGCACCATCCTTCTGATGAGATTGAGGTCCCAGGTGCCTGTTCAGGCGGTCGTTAAAGATCCCATAGCATTTTCCTGGCCAACAATCCTCCAGATTAAAAAGAATTGTTCATGTAATTCATGGCTATTTATGGGACATTGCAGTGTGCAAATTGCATCCTGTGGAAACATACTCAGTAAACCCAGCAAAACGCTTTGAGATGTTTTTTCATGACAAAATGCTATATCAAAAGCAAGAATTATAATTATAATTATTATAATCTTAAACACACTGCTCTCAAATTTCGATTCAGTGTTCTGTTTTTCAGGTGTCTAATGTTTCCTTATTGCTGTATTGTTGGCCAACATGTATTGTCTAGGCTTGTGCTAACATAACCAACCTGGGAGAGGAGTTGTCAATAAAGGGAGAAAATTGGAACAAAGGATATAGAGAACGAAAATAATTAAACACTTTTTAGTGATTATGGTGTGAATTCAGTGGCGGACTGGCTCCCCGAAAGGGATCTGAATTGTAATGTAAAATGGGAGCGCTGCTTCGTGGGGGGACACCAAAAAGCATAAAACATCCACACATTTAAAAAGTTTGCTGGACTTGAATGGAACTTCAGAACTAGGCTACATGGGATAGTAAGCATTGGAAGCCATTCAAGGGTAGCTCAGGAAATTTCCCGATTTCTCATATACCCTGTCCCTCCTGTATAAACTTAATAATGCTACCAAAATATCACTGATGTTAAGCATCTTTAATATCCTGTACTATAGATTTTTGTAATTCTTTAGTCAATACAGTAATTTTGATGCTAGCAAATCTGCTACTGAATATTTAATCTTCCAAACATAAAAGGGGATGTTCATGAAGAATATTAGGCTAATGTTTGCCTGAAAAATGAGGGGGGAATTGTATTATTTTATCTTGTTGAGAGTATGTGTGTTTGTGTGTGAATGTCTATGTGTGTGAGTATGTGTCTGTATGTGTGTCTAAGTTTTTTATGGAAAACATCAAAAAAAATAGTTTGGGTGAAGCTGTAATCTGTGATCTATCATTCACTTTAGATAACCTTGTGCTAAAGACTATCAATGTCCAGTCTGGCTCGCTGTAGGAGTACTGAATTCTTGGCTCCATCCATTTGATGATCAAATTCAATAATCCTCTTATATTTCAATGATGTCCAGCAAAGCTTAGTTTTAGAATATTAGTCTTTAAGCAGAAATGGCAGCCATTCTTAAAAAGCAACAACTGACTGCGTGAGATTTGTGTGCCTTGACGGAAAAGGGGAAGAAAGCTAACAAAGCAGCATTTCAGCACTGAAACTTTGGAAATGAAGGCTCTCTTATTGCTAGCCTTACCGTGGCTAAGTCCTGCTAACTACAGTGACAGCGTTGGCAATCTGCATTTTCTGTACTCCGATCTGTGAGTCCCTAAAATAGCTCCATATATCATGTAGCAGCAGTGAATTTTTTTAATATAGTTAAATGTTTAATATGTCGAAATGCACAGCATTACAAACTAGAAACAAAAGTGTGTGACATTTAGAAGTCAATGTTTATTCTAATTCTGCTGTGGATGTTTCTTTTTATTTAAAAAAAGTGTTTTATCTGTGCTTGGACATGCAACCAGATTTATAAGTCCTAAGTACACAGTTAACATTGTAATTACTTCCTCAATTTACTCTTTCTTTCAGTGCCATTATTGCATTATAAAAATTTATCTCATACAGCTTTGTAATGTGCTTTCCTGTTACTACCTTGACAACTCCCTGGGAGAAGTTCCTTCGAATCTTCTTTGAACTGCCTTAGTCACAATTTTGTATAAATTCTTACAGTAAATCTAATAACTCCCAGATATCAGTTACATTGCAGACATATTTCAACACGTAAATATAATGGTCTAATTGTTCAAAGCAGAGATACTATACTGTTGATATGAAGGATATGTTGCTTTAATTAAATGGATTTGACAGCATTGAACCAGGTTTTCTTGATTCTAATAAAATCAATCCATTCAAATATTATAGCTTATTGCTATTCATTATTAATCAGCCTATCAGAAGTAATTGCTTGTACTGCTAGTCAAATTAAATTGAAGAGGTGTCAAGTGAAATAATATGATTTACTAATACAAACAAATAACAAAAAGACTGCTGTTTTAACCATGATAGAACCTGCTGTATAAAATCAAAGTTATTTGAAGGATTACAAATTATTTACATGGTTCAGAAGTCATATGACATTATAATAATATATGACATTATTGATCATTATTGTAAATAAAGGTAAGACTTTGTTCCTTGGTCTTTATAATATTATAACATTGTTTGTAATTACTCTCCGCTGCTCCCCTCCATGCTCACTTCTATCACCAAAATGCCATGCCAAACCATCTGGCAGCTCCCAACACCTTCATATTAGCGTTGCTACGTTACCCAGTTTTTCTTGGCTCATTTTGAAGACCAGAGGAAAGAAAGGTGCAGGACACACATGTATATCAGTAAACACTGTCAATACCAATATCTTGGTTGACCTGCTAGGAGGTCTCTTGGATGCTAATGGAAGAGTTCCTATAAGTAGGTTTTGCACACTAACCCTGATGACCAAACCAAGATCTCCGCAATATTGCCAGACTCCGCCACTGCCTCACCCCTCAGGCTACCGAAACCCTCACTCACGCATTTGTCCCCTCAAGGCTTGATTACGGGAACTCCATCCTCATCGGCCTTCCCAACTCTTCCCTTCACAAACTACAGATCATCCAGAACTCTGCAGCTCGTGTACTCTCATGCACCAGGCTCCACGACCCTATCACTCCCACCCTCGCCCGACTCCACTGGCTCCCCATCCCCCAAAGGATCGAGTTCAAGATCCTCGTCCTCACTTTTCAAGGCCATCTATGGCCTTGCCCCCTCCTACCTCTCTGACCTGCTGACTCCCTACCAACCTGCCCGCTCCCTCCGCTCATCGGGCTCCGGCCTGCTCCATGTCTGCTGCCCGACCCGCCCTACCATCGGTGGCCGGGCTTTCAACCTCTCTGCCCCCACACTCTGGAACTCCATCCCACGGTCCCTTTGCCTCACTTCCTTCCTTGCATTCTTCAAGGCCGGTCTCAAGGCCCTCTCTTCGACCGTGTCTTTGGTCTCCCTCCCATCTCTCTGC